CTTCTGAGACCTTACCCTTGCATTTACTAGAAAAAAAAAAAAAAAAAAAATACTGTCAACTAACTTCATTGACAAAGAAACTCAGTAAGTAAAAAGTATGATCCAAAGTGCTCATCATCAGAAGAGAGGACTAAGATGGCCTTTAAATATATGTGAAGATTGAGAACGGAAAATGGTGGGCCAGGTACAGTCACTCACGCCTGTAATCCCAGCACTTTGGGAGGTTTAGGAGGGCAGATCACTGGGCCCAGGAGTTCGAGACCAGCCTGGGCAACATGGTGAAAACCTGCCTCTACTAAAAATACAAAAAATAAGCTGAGATGGGAGAATCACCTAAGCCTGGGAAGTCGAGGCTGCAGTGAACCAAGAGCATGCTGCTGTCCTCCAGCCTGAGAAACAGGAATGATACCCTGTCTAAAAAAATTTTTTTAAGTTGGCACTTATATTTATACACATATTGTCTTGTGCTTTATCATGTATTTTGACTCCTGTAATGACCCTGTCTGTCTAATCCCAAAGCTATCTTACTGTCTATCTCATACTTACTGAGGGTGACGTTTCAGAGGCCACTGGACAGACTCTTCTGTGGCAAAGCTGAAAAAGGAAACTGAAATTACTGCTTTGAAGTGACAGGTTACTCAGTAATACTGAAATAAATATTCTATAAAATATAAACTTTTGATTTTGACTAATAAAATGTTAAGTCTTTATTTGTTTAATTAACATGAAACATGTCATTATGTTTATAATGTAACTATAAACATCTAGTGTAACTATATATATATGTCTGCTTAGCCAACTCCTTTCCTGACTTCCAGCCCCATTTGTCCAACAGTCCAAGACGTATCCATGTGAACAAGTCATAGCAACCTGAAACACGTGGTCAGTTTTGTCACTTTATTTATGAGATGGAGTCTTGCTCTGTCGCCCAGGCTGGAGTGTAGTGGCACGATCTTGGCTCACTGCAACCTCCACCTCCCAGGTTCCAGCAATTCTCCCACCTCAGCCTCCCAAGTAGCTGGGATTACAAGCATCAGCTACCACGCCTGGCTTTTTTGTATTTTTAGTAGTGACCGGGTTTCACCATGTTGGTCAGGCTGGTCTCAAACTCCTGACCTCAGGTGATCTGCCTGCCTCAGCCTCCCAAAGTGCTGGGATTACAGGCGTGAGCCACTGCACCCAGCTGCCAGTTTTGTCACTTTAATGCTGTAGGGTGAAGGGCAATATCAGCCACCTGATCACCCAATCAGAGACACCTAGGAGCCAATCTAAACACCTGCTTTTCTCTCTCCCTTCACATCCAATCCCCATATCCTATCAATCCTATTCAAACAGCCTGTCAATCCTCTCAAATATTTCTTAGTCCTTTGCCTTTCTATCTTTACCAACATGGAGTTAATTCTAACTCTCACTATTGCTTACTTGTATAATTATCTGTAATCCTACAACTGGCCTTCAAATTGGCTGCCTGCCTCTACCTCTGCTTGAATCTAGCAGTTTCTTTGAACATGCTAAATAAACATTTGTTGCGTACCTACTTAAGAATGGTCTCTGGAACCATCTACAGAACCAGCAAGACAGTTCTTGCCACTGCAGGGCTTACTGTCTAATTGAGGGAGACAGTGAGTACATGAAAAGGGCTTAGGCATTAGACAAATCTTGGTTCAAACTATCAGTTTTGCTACTTACTGGCTGTATGACTTTGGTTCCGTTGCTTAATCTCCCTGAGCCTTGTTTCTTCATCTATAAAATGAGGATATTAATGTTCACTTTTCATAGTTGTTTTAAGAATTGGAAAAATATGGCCAGGCACGGTGGCTCACACCTGTAATCCCAGCACTTTGGCAGGCCGAGGCGGACAGATCACCTGAGGTCAGGAGTTCGAGACCAGCTTGACCAACATGGAGAAACCCTGTCTCTACTAAAAACACAAAAAATTAGCCAGGCATGGTGCCACGTGCCTGTAATTCCAGCTACTCAGGAGGCTGAGGCAGGAGAATCGCTTGAACCCAGGGGGTGGAGGTTGTGGTGAGCCGAGATCGTGCCATTGCACTCCAGACTGGGCAACAAGAGTGAAACTCCATCTCAAAGAAAAAAAAAAGAATTGGAAAAATATGCAAATATCTGGCACAAAATCAGTGCACAACAGATAGTGTCTAGTATTATTAGCTTAGCTATACACTTTTAAGAGTCAGTGTCTTAACAGAGATTAAAATCAGTTTTTTCTAATTTAGTAATTTTCTATTGCAAAATTCACCATCTATTGCAGCAGGTCTAATGTGGTCCCATTAATGTACAACTATATTTCTGTAACTCAAAAAGGCAATTTTATAATTAAAAACATGGACTCTGTAAATCAAACAGACCTACATTTAAATAATCTTAGTCACCTCTGAGCTGCGTGATTGGGCCAAGTCACTTAATTTTCCTCAAATCGCTTAACCCTTTGAAACTTCAGTTTCTTCACCTGTAAACTAATTAACATGCAGCTGTTTCAAAGAGTTGGTAAACTGATTAGCACAGTGTCTGGTCCATATGAGGCAGCTGATAAGTGTTCAGAGAAAGGCTGTTTGCTGAAATGATTGTCTCCAGATGGTGAGGTATCTGGATATTATTCTTTATACTCTTCTGTATTGCTTTTTTTCTTTTTTTTATCCTGGGCACATGTAATTTTTAGAAAAACTCTAATATAATAACGTTTTGTTAAAATTTACCTTCTGAATTCAAGAGTTCTGGTTTCATCTTTCCAGTACCACATCCCTAATCGTAATCCCAACTGCTGAAAAACAAAATTTTTGCAGCAAAAATAATTAAAAGTTCAATTTGCAATCCACAGGCCACAATAAACCTTTAACAATAATTCCTACTTACTAACATACCTTTTAAGTAATAAGAAGAAAACAAGAAACAATGGTTCCTACTAGTCCCTCTTCACATTCTCAGTAAGAGTGTAGAATCCTAAAGTGTTAAACTTGAAGCAGGATTTTATCCCTCTGATTGATTTTAGGTGTGGTTTCAGTAGAAAGGCAGAAAGGGGGGGGAGGGAGAAAGGAAGGGAGGAAAGTAGGAAAAGAGGAAAGAAGAAGCGGAGGAAGGGAAGGGAGAAAGGAAGAAAGAAAATTGAGACTGCATGTAGCTTATCAAAGAAATTTACCAATTAATTGGAATTCAGACAATAAACTGATGCCCAGGGCAGCCTCAGCTTTCTGGTTCTGGAGCCTTCTGGTCCCCAACACTGAACCCGCCCTTCAGACGCATTGGCAAAAAATAAATACACCTTTTCACCAGTGGAAGCTAGCACCCCACCAGCCTTTCTACCCCGAGCGGGCTGCTTCCCCAGCAGTAGGGCTATTTATTTTGAAACCAATTAGAGGTGGTGAGATGGGATTTCATAAATATCTAACTACCTGCCCTGGAGCCAGAATTCAATTCTGACCATCTGTCCAATACACCTCTATAGTTTTGTTTTTCCAGGCAAATATGGCCATGTGTCTTTGAGAACCGCCAGCCCGGGCGAAGGCGACGACCCGCCTCTGGAGGAGGGCAAGGGGCGCGGCGCCGGGAAAGGCGGCACCAAGGGCGGACTGGGGGCAGCAGGGCCCGCCTTGCGCCCAGCCTGGGTTTGGGGGCCACCGGGGCTGCACTTACATCTATCAGGTAAGGGGTCTGCCCGTCTAACCGCTTCCTCCTCGAATAAAACTCGGGCACCCGGTACATGGCGTCGCCCTGGCCGCCACACGGCGTCGCCAAGGCTACCGCCAGCCGGCGCCAGCACACTGCGGCCCAGTGCGCGGGGCGGGGCGGGGTCCGGCGAGGCGTCGCTTCCCTCCTGGGCCGCGCGGGCTGCGGCCGCACCCAGGCTTCTCCCGCGATCCCTAATGCCCAGCCCGGTGCCCTGTTTCCCAGTCTTAAAAGCCGTGGCGGCTTACTGGCCTATCCATTGTAAAGCCACCCAAGGCATAATTCTTCATGGCATTCCAACCATGAACTCCATCAGGTTTTTCATTTTACTGTTTTAATTGGAATAACTACATTTAGTCGTATAGGGAAGAAAGATCAATTTTTTCCAAACTTTCATAATTAGCACTATTATTAAGTTCAAATCCAGGTTGTACCTAGTATGATGGGGAGAGGAGGGTCGAGGTGGGGAAGCAGGGAAGTACTCAAAAGTAGTGTTGCTCAAAAACCAAGAACCTTGCTTAGTGTCAATGGATATTGTATTGATATATTTACATTTACACTCTTCCGATCGTATGTCTTGTAATTCCTTCTTGCAACTGAGTTGATAATGCTGATTCTGATTGTTTTTCCTCCCAGCTCGGAGTGAGCAATGCTAGATGATGCAACATGATTGGGAATGCCTAGTATATTCTTTTGTATCACCACAGCTTAATGGGTTGAAAGGCTCATAAGTAGTGGGTATATACTCCCATAAACTTTTAAATTAAGTCAATAGGCTTCCCACTGCTTCTTCTATTCCCGCCCTCCCAGTCTCACTACTGGGTAATACACAATTACTGGCTACAGCAATAAAATAGTAATCATCTAGATTCATGTTCTGCTCACTTGAGTCCATTCTGGCACCTGTTCAGTTGGTCCAGATATATGGAAACCCACCTATTTACTGGCTGCAGACAAGGCCTTCTTACTACAAGATGACACACTTGAGAATATCCCATATGCCAAGAGCTTTTCACCTAGTAGTGAACATAACTTGGGGTGGACAGGACAGGGAAATAATGAGAAGAAGCTCCAGAAAAGATGAAGAAAGACCAAGGAATCTGGATGGCATCCAATCACTTCACAATCATTATTGGGAAGACCACACTAGGGGTCAGTAAACCTCTTCAATTCATCCCAATAATATGTGGAGAAGTGCTGATGGAAAACTTGAGATCTATATATCTCATCACAGAATAAACTTAGGTAAAAATAAGAGTTGAGAGCCCAAAACAATATCTACTTAAAAATTACAGAAGTTATTTCACATTGATAGAGGGATATAATATTTAAAAGAAAGCTTCAGTAACTGTGAAGAGGACAATCTTATGCTTCTCTATAACCTTACCTCAAACAAAAGGAAGAAGAAAAGATTGTTTTTACATTTCAAAATCATGACAGTACTTATTCTAAAAAGTGACCCACCCATTTCCCAGGCTAGATTTTTCACCAGTTAGGTTTCTTTTTAAATGACATTAGAAACTCACAACCAAAACTGGAAATATAATTTTCCCTTTAAAGAAAAAACCCACAATTGATGATGTTTAACTAGGGATGAAGGTACCTTCAAAATATTTGATAACTGCAAGTGTCCTGTGAATAATTTTTTTTTTTTGCCTAATTAAGAGAAACTCAAGGTCATATAGCTGTCTAAGAGATCTAAGAGCATGTAATATAGAATTGCTGGTCCCAGATTTTAGGTCCAAGACATTAATTGAATATAATGCATGCTAATACTATAAAAAAGGTCATAATAAACAGATTTCATTGTGTGTGTGTGTGTGTGTGTGTGTGTGTTTTGAGATGGAGTCTCCCTTTGTCACCCAGGCTGGAGTGCAGTGGTATGATCTCGGATCACTGCAACCTCCGCCTCCCAGGTTCAAGCCATTCTCCTGCCTCAGCCTCCTGAGTAGCTGAGACTACAGGACTACAAGCGCATGCCACTACAGCCGAGAAGGCCCCACTGCCCAGCTAAATTTTGTATTTTTAGTAGAGATGGGGTTTCACCATGTTGGTCAGGCTGATCTCAAACTCCTGACCTTGTGATCTGCCCACCTTGGCTTCCCAAAGTGCTGGGATGACAGGTATGAGCCACTGCACCTGGCCTGGAAAGATTTTTATAATGTTATAATTCTACCTTAAAAAATTAACTTACCACAAAAGAAAACAGTAATGCAAAATTTTGAATTAGCAACTTCATTTTTTAAAACTTATTGTTTTTCGTGACACTATACACCTGGAGATGGCAGCTCCTGTTTATTTCTTTTGAGACATGGTCTCACTCTGTCACCCAGGCTGGAGTGCAGTAGTGTAACCTCTGCTCACTGCAACCTCTACCTCCCAGGCTCAAGGGCTTCTCCCACCTCAGCCTCCTGAATAGCTGGGACTACAAGGGTGCACCACCAAGGCTGGCTGATTTTTGCGTTTGTAGTGGAGAAAGGGTTTCACCATGCTGGCCAGGCTGGTCTCGAACTCCTGACCTCAGTGATCTGCCTGCCTTGGCCTCCCAAAGTGCTGGAATTACAGGCATGAGCCACAGCACCCAGCTGGCAGCTCCATTTTTGATTGCTTATTTACTAACTCTTCAATTCACAGACAACCTAATCAACACTGAAAGGGGTGGAAGAAAGGGCCTATGATATCTTGGTTTATTCTAAGGGAAAGATATTTTAACATTAAGCATCACTCTAATAAATTTCAGAAATGCATATACCCTAAAATATTTCCACTTCAAAAGCTGTATCAAGGCCAGTGCGATGGCTCAGGCCTGTAATTCTAGCACTTTGGGAGGCTGAGGTGGGTGGATGATCGGAGGTCAGGAGTTCGAGACCAGACTGGCCAACACAGTGAAACCCTGTCTCTACTAAAAATACAAAAATTATCCGGGCATGGTGGCAGATGCCCATAATCCCAACAACTCTGAAGGCAGAGGCAGGAGAATCATTTGAACTCAGTAGGTGGAGGTTGCAGTGAGCTAAGATTATTCCACTGAACTCCAGCCTGGGCGACAAAGAGAGACTCTGTCTCAAACAAAACAAAACAATTATATGAAGAATAAATACTGGGGCCTGGCATGGGGCTCAGGCTAGCACTTTGGGAATACAAGGCAGGCGGATCACTTGAGATCAGGAGTTCCAGACCAGCCTGGTCAACATGAGGAAACACCATCTCTACTACATAGTTCTACTACATAGCCCCAGCCATACAGGAGGCTGAGGCAGGAGAATCACTTGAACTTAGGAGGCAAAGGTTGCAATGAGCCATGACGCCATTACACTCCAGCCTGGGTGACAGAGCAAGGCTGTCACAAAAAAAAAAAAAAAAAAAAAGAATACTGGGCTTTTGCCAGGCACAGTGGCTTAAACTTGTAGTCCCAGCACTTTGGGAGGCCAAGGTGGGTGGATCACCTGAGGTCAGGAGTTCGAGCCCAGCCTGGCCAACATGGTGAAACCATCTCTACTAAAAATACAAAAATTAGCTGGGTATGGTGGTGCATGCCTGTAATCCCAGCTACTCAGAGGGCTGAGGCAGGAGAATTGCGGAGATTGCAGTGAGCCAAGAAGGCCCCACTGCATTCCAACCTGGGCAACAGAGTGAGACTGTGTCTCAAAAACAACAACAACAAACAAACAAAAAAAATAAAGCTTTTTCTGAAGATCCAAAATTTTCCTCAAGGAATAAAATTCTGCATCTAGTTTCTAATTCTGTAACTAATTCAGAAGTTTATTCACACCTATTTATACATTATACAACTGAATATTCCAGTGTATAAATCTAAACATATATATTCCCTTAACAATTGTGACATATGGATGTGAAGGGTTTTGTTTGTTTTTGAGATGGAGTCTTGATCTGTACAGTGGCACAATGTATGCTCATTGCAACCTCCGCCTCCCGGTTCAAGTGTTTCTCCTGCCTCAGCCACCCAAGTAGCTGGGACTGCAGGCACCCGCCACCACACCCAGCTAATTTTTTTGTTGTTGTTGTATTTTTAGTTGAGACAGGGTTTCACCGTGTTAGCCAGGATGGTCTCAATCTCCTCACTTTGTGATCTGCCAGCCTCGGCCTCCCTAAGTGTTGGGATTATAGGCATAAGACTGGGCCAGATATGAGATATTTTTAAACTTCAGTTTAAATCATATTCAAAAGCAAGAGGAGCATGCCTCACAACACAACTTTTATAAACTACATTCAGTTTAAAGTAAGAATATGTTATAGGTCTACTATTGGAAAGTCATAAAAATAGATTTTCTGATTTCATCTCTATGGCCAGGTTGTATTCAAGATTATACATAAAAAAATTCTCATTAAGTCTCCATGACATATTGAATGGTTAACATAAATATCACACTGTGCATGTTAAATTTACATGTGTAAATTGCAGTAATATTTCCAAACATACAAGTTTTAATGCATTTTCATTTTACATATCAATACTATAAAAAATTTCAAGTGAGTTTTTTTTGAAATTTCACATCTCAAATACTGTAGACAACTGGTTGTGTCATTTGGCAGGTGTCTAGATTTGTTTCCTCAAAACAGGGACAATTATATTAATTAAACATTCAGATAAGAATTTCAGATAAATGCCTGTTGGAGAAATGTAATTCTTCCATCCCTTAACATTCTGTATATATGTATATATACATACTGAATTTGCTTTAGTCATGACCACTAGTCCCGAACATAACCCACTACTTAGTTCAAGTGATACTAGTTATTCGTTAAACTGTAATTTAGCCCCATCCTAACATCAAGTACTTTTTCCACTGTTATTTGACTATGGCTCATCTAACATCTGCTAAGGAGTTCCAGGAGTTATCAAGTTACCAGTTTCAACTGACCCTTGGAAAGTGAATGGCTACTTTGGTGGTTTTATTTCAGGAATATACAAATCTAGGTAAATTTGAAAAGAGAAAATTAAATAAGAAACACTCTCAAGAATGGTAGGAGTTTTACAAATTACTTCTCAAAATAATAGAAAATGAAATATCTACCCAGATTGGTGTTAGTATTATAGGAAGTTACCGGAGGCCAGGCCATAGGATCAAAGACTACTAATGGTCATTTTTGAATACTTTAGAAACTAATCCCTTAAGTGAGGTCTAAAATGAGTCATACTTACACCAAACTGTACTTACAGAAGGACTCCATTATATTCTGAAGTTAGAGCAAGGAATGAACACTTTCAACTTTTTAAAAAAAGAACTAATAAAAAGGGAACAGAATGGGTATTATCTTGATAAAGCTCACAGTAAACATCACTGTAAAGCTACAATTAACCTGATTTTGTACTACCATAGTAGTTTGTCAAATATTTATGCCTGTAGTCCATGAAACATCCTTAAATGGTCATTGCTGAAAAATTTCCACCAATGTGACTCCTGCACTGATAAATTGGAATTATCTACAGCATTTCAGAGTATAAAAAGCAGTTTTCTTTAAAAAAAAAAAAAAAAAAAGGTGTTTATTTTGAAGCAGTTTCACTGTTGCCTATTTATCTTCCTCCCCCTCCCCAAATGAAGCTTGCTAAAAAGGAAAAAAAAAAATCTTATCTGTACTTAAGAGTCAACTCTTGTGTGAAAGGGTCGTTACCAAAGGCCAGTATTCTTAGGCTAACTTCTTACCTAGTTTTAAAATTATTACTCATAGTGTTATTCATAAAATTAATCTCTCTGCATGACATAGATGAGTCCACTACTAAATTGAAGATACAGCTTTCATAACTATTATGAGCAACATGAAACAAACCTATATCATTTGGAAAGATATCAAAATGTCTATGTGCAATAGAAACATTAGGTTCACTATGCGTTTTCCTATCGGTTTTACTGAATTTCTCACAAGTTCTTCTTAGAATAAGAAAGGAGTAAACAGGTCATTTCACTAAAAAATAAAAATGAATTCCTTTCTCCAAACGATGTGAATTTTAAAGCTTAAGTCCAGGATCGTGTATCACCAAAGGGCTACAATATTCCTATCTATAACAATCTCAAATTGGATATGAAGGAAAATGGACAAGCTGTATATTAACAAAATACAAGACTAGTACAGTCTGCCTTTTAAAAAAGAAATCTATTGTAGTGATTTAAAGCAAGTATTGCAAAAGCATTATGATTCCCAAATCAGAAAAAAAAAATATATATATATATATATCTGTTTCCCTACCCAAGTAATTCTGCTGGAAACATGCTACTAGAATTTGCCATAAGCTCAGAAGTTGAGCTGTTTTACTAGAAAATTAAAACAAGTTTGACTAAATGTATACTCAATATTAAGTAACTTGAAAACTCGCCTGCTGTCTCTTGTTTCAGGCTCCTGTATGTCACTAAAAGTAACTTGTTTCCATAATTCCTTTGGCAATTATAAGACAACTTCTGCCCAGCTTTTGTTAAAGACATATTTTATACTTAACCCCAGACTATAGCTCATGTTTTCCTGGAATATTCAGGTGAATTTTCATTTGCACACTTAAGTTGTAGGAGAGTGTGGGTACACTAGGAAGACTCCCACTCAGGTTTCTGTATTTAAGGGTGGGTAAGTTTACCCAGATTCTTCTCCCCTTAAGTTGTTGAATTCAAGGCAGCACCCTCATCTGGGAATTAAACAAGATTGGTTAGATAAATTTCACATCATACTAATATCTTAAAGACTAATATGGGTAAAATATAAAGGAAGGAAAATTGAAAACTCCAAGACAGTAATTTTGAGATCAATTTCAGCTTTACTTTAAATTTGCATTTATGCATTTGTTTCCAAAAGGATACCTGTCCTTAACATTACTGCAATGTTCAGTTTAAAATAGCACATAAAAATAAACAATTCAAGCTCCTCTATATTTTATTGTTTCTAAGCTTCTATAGAACAGGTGTGCAAACTTCAGGTTTCTCATCTCAATCAAATCTCCATGCACCAACTAATCAAAAATGCTCAAGTCAGCAAACACACAAAATGCATTAAAGAGAAACCTCAAATAATGTTTTTAAAAACCAAACTTTGTAACTAACCTTTTATAATTAACCTAAGTTGTTGCACCTCCATTTGCATACACCAATCTAAAGACTTCCAGTAATAGATCTCATACTTGGCACAAGGACATTTCAAAGAAACAAAAAAAGAAAAAAGAAAACAAAGAGAAAGGCAAAGAGGTTTACGCTGACTTGAGTGCAAGCTTAGTCCACTTCTTCGATGGTCGGTCCCCCGGAGGCTCCTGAACCTCCGCTGCTGCCGCCGCCGCCGCCGCCAGGACCGCCTTGGTAAAGTTTGCTGATGATGGGGTTGCAAATTCTTTCGAGCTCTTTCTGCTTGTGTTCAAACTCATCTTTTTCTGCCATCTGGTTTCGGTCGAGCCAGTTGATCACCTCCTGACACTTGTCGAGGATCTTGTTTTTGTCCTGCTCGCTAATCTTGCCCCTCAGTTTCTCGTCTTCCACCGTCTGCTTGATGTTGTAGGTATAGGACTCCACGGCGTTTTTGGCGGCGACTCGGTCGCGATTCGCCTCATCCTCCGACTTGTACCGCTCCGCCTCCTGCACCATCCGGTCAATGTCGTCCTTGCTCAGACGACCTTTGTCGTTGGTAATGGTGATTTTGTTTTCCTTACCGGTGCTCTTGTCGGCGGCGGTAACGTTAAGAATGCCGTTGGCGTCGATGTCGAAGGTAACCTCGATCTGGGGGACCCCGCGGGGAGCAGGGGGAATCCCGGTCAGGTCGAACTTGCCCAGCAGGTTATTGTCCTTGGTCATGGCCCGTTCGCCCTCATATACCTGCACCAGCACGCTGCTCTGGTTGTCTGAGTAGGTGGTGAAGGTCTGCGTCTGCTTGGTAGGGATTGTGGTGTTCCTCTTGATGAGTGGGGTCATGACACCGCCAGCTGTCTCGATACCCAGTGACAGCGGGGTCACGTCGAGTAGCAGCAGGTCCTGCACGTTCTCCGATTTGTCACCGATGAGGATGGCCGCCTGCACCGCAGCGCCATAGGCCACCGCCTCGTCGGGGTTGATGCTCTTGTTCAGCTCCTTGCCGTTGAAGAAATCCTGCAGCAGCTTCTGGATCTTGGGGATACGAGTGGAGCCGCCCACCAGCACAATCTCCTGGATCTGGCCCTTGTCCAGCTTGGCGTCGCGCAGCGCTTTCTCCACCGGCTCCAGGGTCCCGCGGAAGAGGTCGGCATTGAGCTCTTCGAAGCGGGCGCGGGTGATGGACGTGTAGAAGTCCACGCCCTCGTAGAGCGAGTCGATCTCGATGCTCGCCTGCGTGGACGAGCTCAGGGTGCGTTTGGCGCGCTCGCAGGCGGTGCGCAGCCGCCTCACGGCGCGCTTGTTGGGCCCAATGTCCTTCTTGTGCTTGCGCTTGAACTCCTCCGCCAGGTGGCTCACCATGCGGTTGTCGAAGTCCTCGCCGCCCAGGTGGGTGTCGCCGGCCGTGGACTTCACCTCGAAGATGCCATCCTCGATGGTCAGAATAGACACGTCGAAGGTGCCGCCGCCCAGGTCAAAGATGAGCACGTTCTTCTCGCCGCCCGCGCAGCCCTTCTTGTCGAGGCCGTAGGCTATGGCCGCCGCCGTGGGCTCATTGATGATTCGCAGCACGTTGAGCCCCGTGATGGTGCCCGCGTCCTTGGTGGCCTGGCGCTGCGAGTCGTTGAAATAGGCCGGGACCGTGATGACCGCGCTGTGCACCTTGCCCCCCAGGTAGGCTTCCGCGATCTCCTTCATCTTCGTGAGGACCATGGAGGATATCTCCTCCGGGAAGAAGGTCTTGGTCTCCCCCTTGTACTCCACTTGCACTTTGGGCTTGCCTCCCTCGCTCACTACCCGGAACGGCCAGTGTTTCATGTCCGACTGCACGGTGGCGTCCTCGAACTTCCGTCCGATCAACCTCTTGGCGTCGAAGATGGTGTTGGTGGGGTTCATGGCCACCTGGTTCTTGGCGGCGTCGCCGATGAGGCGCTCGGTGTCCGTGAAGGCCACGTAGCTGGGGGTGGTGCGGTTGCCCTGGTCGTTGGCGATGATCTCCACCTTGCCATGTTGGAAGACCCCCACGCACGAGTAGGTGGTGCCCAGGTCGATGCCGATAGCCGGGCCGCGGGCAGACATCCTGACTGAAAGGCGAGCGATGTTAGGACGGGAAAACCAGGGAGACGCACCCCGCGGCGTCAACTAACGGTCGCCGCACACCGAGCACTACCAACAACTCCCCGCTCCCGGTGCCCGGTTCCCGGTCCTTATAGCCGCCTCCGCGAACTCCCAGACCCAATCCGCTCCCGGGACCGCCCTCACAAACTCTTCCAGCCCCACCGCGGGCTTGGCTGGGTCGGAGTGACTAGCCGGTGGCCCAACAGATTTCAAGTTGGACGAGGGGCGGGACTCCGCCCGCGCCAGGAGACAGAGGGGCGGCCGTTATGTAAATGAGGCTCCTCCCAGACTCCCGGCCGCTGGGCCGCGGCACTTCGCGCGCCCCCGGCTCCTTGCGGACGTTAGGCGCGCGCTCCCGGAGCCAGGTGTACGCGCTTTTTCGCGGTCTTTGCTCTAGTCGACGTGTTCGGATTGGCAGGTCTCGCGGCCAATGAGCAACGCGGACTGGGGCGTGGCATGGGGAGGTGGCGTGTAAGGGGAGCCGGGTGAGGAGAGCTGCTGGGAGGGTTCGCTCAAGTCCTAAGGCTTTAAGTGCAGTTCAGTGCCAGGTGTGCCGACTCATTGATCACGCAGGGGCGGAGGAACTTATTCTGAGTTGGTTGCACCGAAGAAATACGGCTTTAGCAGCCTGTTTTCCCCCGCGCCGTCCAAGCAGAGGGAATGGGGAGTTGGCGTGGCTTGAAGGGTGAGGGCGGCTCCCTTGTGCAGGGAGAAAAGAAAAGAAAATATTGTGTAAACCGGCGGTCGGCCTCCTGGAATTTTACAGTGCGTGCTTCGCGGTGTCTCGGTGGTTGTGAGCACTCGATTAAAACTGCCTGGCGGGGGCCCTGCGCGGTAGGTCGAGCCTGTAATTCCAGCACTTTGGGAGGCCGAGGCGGGCGGATCACGAGGTCAAGAGATCAGGACAATCCTGGCCAATGCGGTGAAACCCCCGTCTCTAAAAATACAAAACACTAGGTCAAGAGATCGAGACCATCCTGGCCAATAAAACCCGTCTCTAAAAATACAAAAATTAGCTGGACTTGGCAGGTAGGGGGAGAGAACCTGAGCCCGGGGCGAGGCTGTCCGTTTTTCCGCGCCACGTGAGGGCGGCTGGCTGGACCGCAGACCAGGGAGTGGCAGCGACTCGTCCTCCTAGGAGCCTGCATTTAGACTCTCCCAGCCTCTTCCTTTTTCCTGCTTGTCCTGCCGCTTTAAACTTTCTAGTTTCTCCTTCCTGTTCATTCTATTGCTTATTTTAGGTCGCAAGTGCTCTATCCACTGCTTTGAGTTCTTGACTGGAAAACCCATAATATAATCAATCAGTCAAAACCCACTCGTTGAAACACCATAAAGTCACTCAGTTAAGGTCACCCCGGCACACACGCGCGTTGTGTTCGTGAAGTAGTCATGTTTCTGACTCCACTCAATGGAATGGAATGATTTTCTTTGGCTGTGCTGAGGTTAATATTGGAGGCATAAACCCTGCGAAGACGGCAGATGAAAAGCAGCACGATTCACTTCCTCCTGTTTTCACAGGTATGTCAGGAAGGTCTGGAAAATACTCTGGCACCAGGTGATTATCTGTAGAAGCAGGTTCCCAAATAAATAGGCTCCTGGACAGGCGCAGAGGCTCACGCGTGTAATCCCAGCACTTTGGGAGACCGAGGCGGGCGGATCGCTTGAGGTCAGGAGTTCGAGACAAGCCTGGCTAACATGGTGAACCCCATCCCTACTAAAAATACATAAATTAGCCTGGCGTGGTGACACGTAGTCTCAGCTACCGGAGGCCGAGGTTGCAGTGAATAGAGACCGCGCCACTGCACTCCAGCCTGGGGGACAGAGCGAGACTCCGTCTCTAAAATAAAAGGGCTCCAGGAGGAAGCAAAGACAGTTATCACTTCACATAATGTGTGTGGGGAGGCTTGGGGAAGCCTTTTCATAAAGCTTGAACAGTAACCTACCTACTACGTGGCAGTAAAAAGCCAAATGAAATGGGCTGGCCTTCAGAGGTGGAGAGTCTAATAAAACAGTAAACATAATTCGGGAGAAGCGCTGAAAGAAAAGCACCGTGGAACACAGAGGGGCACACCCAGGCTGAGGGAAAAGTGTGTTGCTGGGGGCTGCCTGGAAGAGGTAGCATGCCTGAGCTGGGAGCTGACGTTTGCCAGCAGAGTAGGAAAGTCTTTCTTTACATAGATTGTGTATGGGCGAAGATGAGAGTAGTGTTTGCTGGGGAACTAGGACTTCTGTACAGAAAATAGTGTCACTGAAAGGAAGGGATACAGGCAAGAAATAGGCTCTTCAGGTGGATAGGATACATTTCAGAGCTTTTTGTACCACATGGTCTTTTTCCTGAGGCTTTGGGCAGTCCTTTAAAGCAGGCTAGTAATGTGGAGCCCATGTAAAAGTTGTGTGAAATGGTGCAGGAGAGAAGTTTTTTTGTTTGTTTGTTTTGTATTGTTTTGTTTTGAGACAGAGTCTTGCTCCAGGCTGGAGTTAAGTGGCAAGATCTCGGCTCACTGCAACCTCCACCTCCTGAGTTCAAGTGATTGTCCTGCCTCCGCTTCCCCGAGTAGCTGGGATTACAGGCGCCCGCCGCCAGTCCCGGCTAATTTTTTGTATTTTCAATAGAGACGGTTTTTCACCGTGTTCCCGAAGCTGGTCTCGAACTGCTGAGCTCAGGCAATCCACGCACCTTGGCCTCCCAAAGTGCTAGGATTACAAGCGTGAGCCACTGCCACGAGCCCGGACTTGGAAAAAAGCTTTTGTCAAACTGAAAAGTTATCTGTGACCAAAAAGTAATGTTGACAGAATTCTATAAAGTAAGTCAATGAACATTTAAGATTATTTTACCTAGTGAACTATATCATTTCCAGTTTTTAAGAACATAATTTGCTATTAATTGGTTAATTTCTTCAGTTAGTGCTATTTTTAACCATAATTCCCACCTTGTTTTCCATGATATTGAGAAAATTTTGAGAAAGGAGACCTTTTAAAGAAAATATTAGGGGCCAGGCACGGTAGCTGAGGCCTGTAATCCCAGCACTTTGGGAGGCCGAGGTGGGCGGATCACGAGGTCTAGAGATCGAGAGCATCCTGACCAACATGGTGAAACCCCGTCTCTACTAAAAATACAAAAATTAGCTTGGCGTGGTGGCATGTGCCAGTAGTCCCAGTTACTCGGGAGTCTGAGGCAGGAGAACAGCTTGAACCCGGGAGGTGGAGGTTGCAGTGAGCCGAGATTGTGCCACTGCACTCCAGCCTGGCACCTGGCAACGAAGCAAGACTCTGTCTCAAAAAAAAAAAAAAAAAGAAAGAAAATATTAGGGAGGCTGGCATGGTGGCTCACACCTATAATCCCAGCACTTTGGGAGGCCAAGATGGGTGGATCACGAGGTCAGGAATTCAAGACCAGCCTGGCCAAGATGGTAAAGCCCTATCTCTGCTGAAAATACAAAAATTTTAGTCAGGCGTGATGGCAAGCACCTGTAATCCCAGCTACCTGGGAGTCTGAGGCAGAGAATTGCTTGAACCTGGGAGACAGAGGTTGCAGTGAACTGAGACTGCACCACTGCACTCCAGCCTAGGCGACAGAGAGAGACTCCTGTCTCAAAAAAAAAAAAGAAAAAATATTAGAAAAACAAGGATAAAACCCAGACTTTTCTAATTGAAGGTGTCATGAATTGTGAGTACAGATCTCTTGATTTTATTCTTGAAAATTCTTGTCTTTTGTGTAGTTGGGAGGGATGTTTGTTTTTTTGTTTTTTTGAGACAGAGTCTCATTCTGTTGCCAGGCGCCAGGCTGGAGTGCAGTAGCACAATCTTGGCTCACTGCAACCTCTGCCTCCTGGGTTCAAGCAATTCTCCTGCCTCAGCCTCCTGAGTAGCTGGGACTACAGGCGCAGGCCACCACACCCAGCTAATTTTTGTATTTTTAGTAGAGATGGGGTTTCACCATGTTGGCCAGGATGGTCTCCATCTCTGGACCTCGTGATCTGCCCACCTCGGCCTCCCGAAGTGCTAGGATTACAGGCATGAGCCACCTCGCCTGGCCAATGTTTGTTTTTTGAGATGGAATCTTGTTTTGTCACCCAGGCTAAGTGCAGTGGCTCACTGCAACCTCTGCCTCCTGAGTTCAAGAGATTCTCATGCCACAGCCTCCAGAATAGCTGGGATTACTTATATGTACCAGCATGCCCATCTAATTTTTGTATTTTTGGTAGAGACAGGGTTTCATCATGTTTGCCAGGCTGATCTCTAACCCCTGGCTTCAAGTGGTGGCCCATCTTGGCTTCCCAAAGTGCTGGGATTACAGGCCTGAGTTTTCTTTTCTTTTTAAAGAAAAGAGGAAGTTTGTGGGCTGTAAGCAATGCAAATTCTTTGTAGAACTGATGATATATGACTTAGAGATAGTCTCAACTACAACTGAAACAAAGAATGTAAGAAAAGCAAATTCTTTAGATCTCTTGTATTCAGTCAGCCCTCACACACTTACCTCAAGCAAACCAAGATTGCAAAAGAGCAAGCAGGCCAGAGTTCTCATACAGAAACACTAGAATTAGAGCTTCAGAGGAATAGTTTCTTTTGCACAGTGACTGTGCTACCTCTGTGCACAGTTATTACAAACACATCTTGCAATCTGACCACCACATTCATCTTTGACACAGCTTTCTGAAACCACAGTAGCAATTATACCTGTATTTTCATTAGCCATGTGTATTTTTTTCTGCTCTTACTTTTCAACTAGTAAATTGATGTTTTATATGTTCCGTAGTTGTGGCATTTTAAGCTTTTCCCAAAAAAGACACTGTATTTGTATTTTGAAGGTTTTTATGTTTGTTTTAAGAGACAGGGACTTGCTCTATCACCCAGGCTGGAATGCAGTGGCAGACTCGCAGCTTGCACAAGCAATCCTCCCACCTCAGCCTCCAGAGTGGTTGGGACTATAGGCATGTACCAACATGCCCGGCTAATTTTTATATTTTTGTAGAGATGGGGTTTTGCCATGTTGGCCAGGCTAGTCTCGAACTCCTGAGCTCAAGCTATCGAGCAGCCTCAGCCTACCAAAGTGCTGGGATTACGATAGTGAGCCATCGCACCTGGCCAATATTTTTTCTTTATATTAAATATGCTCATGCCTTTCATTTAGCATTACTCATCATGGGATTTATTCTAAGGAAGTAATAGAAAATGCAGGTAGTATTATTTATGTTAACAATAATAGAAAGGAAATGGTTTAAATATCCAAAATAAGAGATTAACTAAGTTATAGTACATTCATTTGATGATTTCTTATGCAGCCGTAAAAAAGGGTTTACAAGATTTTTAATGACACAGGAAAATGTTCTT